CCTCTCTCTGATGGAGAGCCTGTATGGTCGATAACAAACAGGTTTGGACTCATCTTTTAGTTTAATTTCTAGTGAGCAACCCTTAACGGTTCCCAGCTCTGCAGAATTTTCAGCAAAACAATTTCTCCACTTATTCAGAATATTCAAAACATTATTTCGTGTTCTCAAATCCAAATCAGTATTAATGTCTAGATCACCCATACAAAATGATTTCAACTTACTATTTTCAATCAGGCTCACCTTATAGTTATTCATCGTCGTGGAATCGATACACCTCCAACCTCGACCAATCAACCTTCCCTCATGCCAGGTCACTTCTCGATCACCCATATTAGAAACTGGAATCACGCCCTTGGAACCGCGTAGAATCATTCCTGGAATGCTGATCAAACTCCGCCCTGTTTGGAATCGCTTATTATCTGTATAGATGTCTTCAGAATCGTCGACTTCTGTTATATTCACTGATACGATCGACGTTGTCTTGGGCTGTAGCGTGATGTCCTCTGAAGTGAAAAGATGCGGCCGCCCCTTCGTTCCGTTTAGAGTAATACTGGCCAACAAATCTCCATTGTCCTTGGTTAGCATAGCCTTCCATGAAGAAACGAAAAGTGATACCCCCTCGGCGTTAATAATTGGCTGGCCGATGATCATGTCAAAATTATCCATATTTGCAGTGGTCACTAGGGCTGAGGTTTCAGTCTGGAAATCATCGACCTCCAAAATGAATTTGGTTGCCTTGTCTATATGTATGAGAGATCCTCCAAAAGACTTCAGGCTGCTTGATACCGGAAACACTGGAAGTCGGAGTTTTTCCACAACAATACTGTGAATGATATTCACCTGTGATCCGCTATCTAGGTAGGCAATAATTTGATTTCCATTTATAGTGCACCTTTTTGTATATGTGTCATTGATTTCTCGTGCATTTATCACCCTAACTGATTTCGGTTCAGGGGCATCCGTCGACTTGCTTGACGGGCCCGGATTATTTTTTCGAAGTGGGCAATCTTCTTTCTTATGCCCAAATCGGTTGCAAGAGTAGCACCTTAAGGATCCCTTGAGACGACAATCTCTAGCCACGTGACCTAATTTTCCACAGTTGAAGCATTCTCCAGTTCTATTAGTACTACTGTCCAATCTGATCCTTTTAGCTTTTGGTTCTTCTCGTGGGCTCTGATAGTTTTCGAGGGGAGCAATAAATCCTGCATAAAGTTCATCAATTGTTGAGCATTGAAAGGCCCTGGCATTGGCTTGAAGTTCCAACGGCAAGCCTTTTATGATACATGAAATCGCTGCATCTTCGTCTAACCTACACTGCTGGATCAGGGCCAATTTGTCATGATAATAATGCGTCATTGTCTCACCGGATCTCTTTTTCCGCATGACCAAATCTTCTAACACCGTTGCGTAGTCTGTACATCTAGGAAAGGCACGTGCCAACGCTGTTTTCCACTCGCACCAAGACTTTCTATAATCGTCCAGCCGGTTAAACCAATTTCGCGCTGATCCACGCAGTTTCTGTTGCATGAATGTAGTTTTTTGATAGTCGCTCCAACTATGAATATCTCCGAGCTGATCAATTTTTTGTATCCACCCTGTAATTGTCATTGTCTTGTCATCTGGATCAAATACTGGTACGATATCACCGGCCGCCCTAGATGTTGAGGGTAACGTGAAGTCACTGTTTATTTCAATGGCATCCGACGCTGACAAACTCGAACTAAATCGTCTTTTGATAGCATCACTTATTTTCTTGTCTATATGTTTTTCCAACAGTTCGCGATATAGCTCATTTTCGTTATCACTCATTTTGGAAATTCGATGTCACTGTATTTATTACCACAATTCCTACACTTTTAGAGGCACGTGGAATATCCCACTATCTGATGTTAAAACTGAATTCGTAATGGGGTTTGTAAATTAGCGAAACTCTAGTAGATAACTAACTTCAATTTATATCTTCTGACTGCACTACATGTAATTCAAATAAAGACTGACTAATTCAAACATTCCATATCCTACCAAGACCCGATCACGTAACCCTTAGTCACCTCCTCCTGAATCATCATCTCTGTAGGTACATTATGGTTCTACAGGGGCGGCGTGGTAACAATATTCATAGTTTTCATTATGAAGTTATAACATTATACAGGGTGTCTGTAAAAGGATGGGACATGGCTCGGCGGTGGACTCCTGGGATAAAAACAAGTTGATTTAGGCCAACTCACCTTCATACAAAATCGTCTCGTTCAGTTGGTACAAGGATGTAAAATGTTTTTTGTGGAAAAAAACAATTCTGCTCATAAAAAGAGTGGACTGAGATCGATTTCCCTAATTTTTGGCGTGGCATGTTCTGTGACTGTAAGTTACGTTTTGAGATGGTTTTGATCATCATCAGTGACCTACAAGTGTTTCAAACAACCATGTTGCCATACCAATGTGATGATAACTTTTCAGAGGTCAGAATGAAAACTTTCAGTTTTTTTATCCAGAAAGATATTCCTTTCAGAAATATTTTTTGTATCGTGTTAATTTCTGATAAGTCTCGAAATTCATTTGCAAATAAATAATATCTGCATCTTATGCATATGAAAAATAATTATCATGGTTGGAACATGGCTTGATTGTAGACTTCTGAGATAAAAATAAGTTGATTTTAGACAACTAACCTATATCCAAAATCGTTTCGTTGGGTTGGTACAAGGCGTTAAAGTTATCACCGCAGGTCCTGAATAGTTATCACCACATTTGTAACGCGAGAGTTCTTGTAAAGCCCGCGAGGACCAGCAACTTTTCAGTTTGTTCACAATAAGAATACAGTGTAGCCATAATCAATAAACAGTCCGACTAATTAAATCAATTTTCAAAAATGCGCAGGATGCCTCATATCAGAAATTATTCATTTGCAAACGAACCTCGAGACTCATCAAAAATTAACACGATACACAAAATAGTTCTTAAGGAAATATCTTTCTGGAAAAAAGGAAATATCTTTCTGGAAAAAAAACTGGAAGATTTCAGTCTGACCTCACCAAATGTGTACGGCAACATGGTTGTTTGAAATACTTGCAGGTCACTGATGATGATTAAGAACATCTCAAAACGTGACTTACAGTCACAAAAGATGCTATGTCAAAAACTATGAAAAACGATCTCAGCCCACTTTTTTTAGCAAAATTATTTTTTTCCAAAAAAACATCAACGCCTTGTACCAACTCAACGAGACGATTTTGGATATAGGTAAGTTGGCCTAAATATATAGCTATAGTATAGCTAGACGCGAACTAAATACACACTTTCCCATAATGTTTTGAATGATGTTATGTATGTGTATATATATCTGAAAGAATGCAATTCCAGAAAATTAATTTTGTTTGTGTTCAGTAGATGTAATTCTATATAGTCGAGAAAATAGTTGTTTTTTAATAAATATACAGAGTGTCCGTAAATTATGCGCAAAACAAGGGGGTGATTCTACATGACAAAATGAGAAATTTTTTTCATATATACGTGTGTCCGGAAATGAGTTCTCAACATACAGTGCATCAAACTTATTTAAAAAAATCGTTTTTTTATGAATATCTGAAATGTCCTTGTTCTGATATTCTTGAAATCTGGCAATGATATTTTTCGTCATGATATAGCCATATTTCAATTTAAATTTCAAAATCCAGTGGCGTCCCGGGGGACAACCTACCAAATATTATTGTCAATTAAATGTGCGCTACTGATTATTTTGAATTCTGTATCTCCATAACCTATCGACCAACTGAAAATACAACATTCGGGTCTCACAAATTGTTGTAATATTTCGCTTCATTTCCAGGGAAAAAAATAAATACCAATTTATTGTTTAACTTTGTGCCAAAAAATCCTTGAGAAACTGGGGTGAAAATAAATGCGTGATCCATGTCCATAGATATAGAATAGGAATGAGGATTCATCTTTTTTAAACACTTCATGATTCATGTCCATACGGTCCAGACGTAGTTTTCAATGATACAAAGTGTGTCAAACATGTACTATGAAATATTTGAAGAAAATCAATCTACTTCCTTATTTTATGTCTACAGACATGGATCACACATTCATTTTCACTCCTGTTTGTGAAGAGATGTTTTGCACAAATTCGCACAATAAATTGGTATTAATTTTCTTCAGCGGAAACGAAGCAAAATATCAAAACCATTCAAATGACCGAAATGTTCTATTTTTAGTTGGTCAGTAGAGGATATAAAGATGAAAAATTCGAAAAAATCAGTAATGCACATTTCATTGTTGATAATATTCGGTATATACTTCAAGATCGACATCACACAAAAAATTCGAAACAAGAATGATTAGAACACCGTGTGGTGAAAAGTGTTGACTCAAATGTACCACCAAAATAGATTATGATACAAGATGTAGGCTTTTTGGAAATTACTGGTCTCTGGCGGATATAAATAGACAAAGAGATTTTCTTCACAATTGTATGATACCGATCAAACCCACCTATTCATATAGTAAGACCTAGAAACCACGCAAATACAATCACGCCTTCAATTTTTATATCAATGAACAGAAGGTGCGCGTGTGTGAATATTTTTTTATGGCCACATTAGATATTAACACATGCACTATAAGAACTGTCATTTGAAAAAGCAATAATGGTTTCCTGATGGCAGATCAGAGAGGCAAGCACCACAATAATAAAAAAATTGATTCTGCAGTCAAAGAGGGAGTACATTCTCACATAGACTCAATACCTCGCATAGAGAGTCATTATTTGAGGAATCAAACAACAAGGCACTATATTGATGGTGACAAAAATCTTACCGACATTAACAATGATAATGAGCTTGTATGCGAAAACAACAATGATCCTCATGTGAATCTTGTGCGACAGTTGAGAAAACGCGAAAGAGTCATTAAAACAGAAGTTCGAATTGCATCATAAAAAAAGTATCATCACGGTTAAAAAAAGAGGGAGACAAGAAAAAATCATTTTCGAATTATGTATGTATGTATCCGAATTGAAAACTGTCGACACACAATGTAATCTGTGGCATGAGGCCCAGGATTATAATGGAGCGGACGAGATAGGTTCTTGTGTTTTGAATTTCATTGAGAAAACTGTCCACAAGATGGAAGAAACTATTGTGGATTTCGTGTTTTACTCCGATGCTGTGGTCAGCAGAAAAATCGATTTTTGGTTGCGATGTACATTTATGCCTTGAAGAAGTATCCTGAAATAAATTTGATCACACATAAATATCAAATAACTGAACACACACAAAACGAAGGTGAGGCTGTTCAATCGACCATTGAAAAGGAAATCAAAAAATGTTTGGAATCAGGTCCCATCAATGTGCCAAGTCAGTATGCACAAATAATACGCATGGCGAAGAAGACCCCTATCATATGAACGAGTTATCGTAGAGAAATTTATATGCATTGAAAACATTAGTTGATGGTATTAGTCTCACTGGATTCAAATCCTTGAAAATTCCGGAAATTAAGATTTTCGAACTGACTGAAAATTCTCCCACTACAATTTATTGCAAAAAATCTTACTAACAGAATGAATTCAAGCCAATGGAGTTGTGCCGAAAAAAATATATCGGTCTCGATTATATTGAAAACAGCCTATTGAAATGCCCCAAATATCAAAGAGAATAAAATAAAATAATCATAAACTGAAGGAAACACATATAACATTGAAATGAAACCAATTTCAACTTCATTCCCGTTATATTTGTATCAGAACTCGTATCAGAACTATCATATTATACCCTTTGAAAATGTATGATGATATGTTATCTTCGCCCGTTGCTTCCTCGTTTTTTGATCATTTTATACTAATACTGACTTCATTTTTGTTATAGTTGAGAACTCAAATTTACCCATGTTGCGAATATCATCATCGGATATTTCAGAGCTCTCCTAGACTAAACTGAAGCGAAGGCATTTGATATGTCATCTGGGTTTGTCTACTGACTATCTATATATCGTCGGCGAAGAAACAATACCGCCATAGTCGCATTTATTTTGGAAATCGAGATTTCAGGTTCAGTCGATGTATACCGCCCATTTTCATTATTCTATGTCGTTAAAGTGAAATATTTCTTACTTGAATGGTTTGGCGACAAATCGACTAATAATACTACCACCTAAGATTTTCGTATTGAGAATTCCGCCTATATCCAACGGATACACTCGGTTTTTGAGGTTATACTGCATTGTTGTTGTTCTCAAGTGTTTGAAATGAGTAACATTGATTATTTTAATGTTATTCCATTCATGGATTGAAACTGGAGAGAACGATAATGAAAGTTTGTTTTGGTTTCTAAATTTACCAACATAAAAAAAAAATGTTGAGTTGAGAACTGCTTCACGTTCTACACTATCGTAAAACGGCAACTTTTTTATAATAGTTTCCTCATAATATGACACAGAAGATAAATAACTTTTTCCCACTTATTCATCCTCATCGCTATAATTCATTTTTAAGTTAACTTCGTACTAATGAAGACGCAAAATCTTCCTGTTCGGAAAAAACTTGAATAAAATTACCGATACAGTAGGTATAGAGGAAATCTAAAGGCATTCTGATTTTGCAGATTGATATCGATGGCTATGAAGAAAGCGATTCAAGCACAAATGAAGTGGAACAAAATGATGACTACATGTTTTCGGATTCGGAGTCGATGCAGGCTCTTGAAGAATATAGAGGTAAACGGCATTCTACCAATACAGCGGTCAGTGTTTCTCCAAAACGTGCTAAGTTCTCATTGAATGAAGGTTTATTGACTATTCGCCGACACTTGATGAAAAGCAACCCTTGGAAATAGACGATGTTCCTCTCACTACAACTGAAATACCAGGACGGGCTGACACATTGAGGAATGAGAACTCTGTGGAGCCATCTCATTCAATCATAGTATATGTTACAGATCGAAGCTCTTCCTTGATTTTTCGCGAATCGCAAACCTTGACGACAGACGATGCTCGAATCACTAATGATGCTCAAATCACGAACGATGCCCAAATCACGAACGATGCCCAAATCACGAATAATGCTCAAATCGCAAATGATTACATTTCGATCGAGTTATCTCCAACGGCAGATGATATTAATCAGCCGGATGCAGAAAATTCAGACTCAGCAACTTCGGTTGAAAGATCGTTCGAAGATGTACCTTTTGATGGAAACGCACATGCGCAAAAGAAGCAGAAAGGAATTAATTATAAAAACTGGAAAGTTCGTGGAGTTCTCTGGAAAGTGCACCTCCTCTTCACCTTGAAAGACGAAAAATCTCTAAATCCAAGTGGCTTCATCTTCATGAATTAAAGATTGTCTTGACATTTTGCTGTCACTCTTTTTACGAACAAATACCCCATGAAGGCAGGCTGAAGATCGTCACTTCTGGAAAATTGTATTTGAGTTGAGTGCCTACAATATTACTCTATTCGCAAGATTTCTATCAGATTAGAATATTTCTTAATTTATTCGAAATTAAAAAAAAAACATCTTTGTCCTGCTGTTCAAGTTCTTGTTGTGATTTCTCAACCTTTTCTTCCTGCAATAAAAACCGCCTATATCGAATTTGTATTCATTGATTCTTCCTAATACCGCCTAACTACCACAAATATCACATAATACAAAAATATGACAATTTATCATTACAATAAAATCAATAAGACCATGTTCATGGAATATAAGGAAACAATAGACGAAACCTCCTATTTTGTTGATACTACGCAATTTTTTCAATCTCCTGAACAATTGGCAAGACTTTTCCAGACTTAGGCGGTTTTGTTTTTTCTCCGACGATATTTCATCGTTGCAGGTTTACCACTAGTACCTTTCTTAGAATCAATATATGCCCAAAAATCACTGCCATCCACTGAAATATCATTCTCCACAATTTATTGATGAGCTGCATACTCATTCTCAGTTAGTATTTTGATACTATCTCTGAGATCATGACACCTTAGTATATCAGATCTATTGAAGAAAACTCTGGGTATTCACATTCCCGTTTACTAACTGTTCTTTTTGGTAAAGACTGATTTATACAAGGAAATAATTTGGTACAGAAAATTTCAATGCATTGGTTGACATATCCAGTTTTATGCAAATCGGCACAGTTGGTTGATTTAATCAGTCCATATAGTGCATAGTGATCACCTCTTGGGTAATCATATTCATAAAAGGAATGTACATTTTCATTATTAGTACTTCTTTCAAATTTAAGCACAGAGGATTTCAGTCCAGGATGATATTTATCCCTACTCACTAGTGGCTGCTCACCTCTAGATCAGTCTGAAATATTCTCATTAGATATTATGAGATCAAGTATCCTATTTATATATATCATCACATTATTATATTGGTTTCAGTTGCATATATTGAAGAATTCCATCAGGATTTTACTTTTATCACAGTCTCCTATCACATAATTGGGTATATTGAAGTTCCTAAAATTGGAATATTATCATTATTCAATGCAAATTGCTCAACAATGTATGGAAAGTCTACTAAACTTTGAACTGTTGTCTTAGGTGGTACATAATCAATAAACAAGTAGATAAAGCTCTCAATGGCTCCATTCAGCACTTCGTCATTGAGAGGGGAAATATATCACATATAATCTTCTGTATGATCTGAGTGAGTTTGACCAAATAAATATAGCGAATTCAATGATTGGCTTCGATATCTCAACAAGAAAGTAATTCACTTGTCTATACTCAATGAGTGGAATTTTAGGAATGGACTTCCACTTTCTATCGTCGAGCAAATAGTTCACTTCTGGAATCTTTGTGGTGCTATCAACACAAAGCCTATAAAAATATCCATTTCAGTATTTTCAGCTTATTTGTCTGAAGATCTCGTTCCATCAGACTCTATAAGTGAATAAAGCAGTATAACAGCCATTTTCGAGAGGTAACCCGAGTAGATAGACAAGGTCGATTGAGAGATCAAAACCATGCATTGGTTCTTTGATCCTTTTGATCTATATGTTCTGGGATAGACAAGGTCGATTGAGAGATCGAAACCATGCATTGGTTCTTTGATTCTTGAACCGACCTATATGTTCTGGGATAGACAAGGTCTACCCACAGATCAAAACCATGCATTGGTTCTTTGATCCTTGAATCGACCTATATGTTGTGGTCTTGATCGTAGAATCGCCATTCGATTCTGGTATCAAGTTCCTACATTGGAGTGTTGATTCTAGTATCGCTAGTCTATTCAGAGATCAAAACCTCGCATGGTTTCTTTGATCCTTGAATGGACCTATATGTTCTGGTGACTACAAGGTCTTGATCTTAGAATCGCCATTCGATTCTGGTACGGGTTAGTATCGCTGATGGGATCAATTCTGGGGAGCACGGGATTATCTCCAGGTGATCTCGGGAATCTCCAGACAGGTACACTGATTCTCAACGCTGCTGGTCACAGTATCATGGTTTCTGAGCCACACTCGCAGTACTTTTGGTACTGTACATTTTTGATGGAACCTGAGGGAGGAAATAAAACAAAGAATAATTAATATGTTAGAACTGAATTCGTAATGGGGTCTGTAAATTAGCGAAACTCTTGTAGATAACTAACTTCAATTTATATTTTCTGACTGCACTACATGTAATTCAAATAAAGACTGACTAATTCTAACATTCCATATCCTACCAAGACCCGATCACGTAACCCTTAGTCACCTCCTCCTGAATCATCATCTCATGTAGGTACATTATGGTTCTACAGGGGCGGCGTGGTAACATTTCGGCCATCCTGTATACACTTCCGTCCTCGGCAAGTGCTCTATAGTTGGTTGTACGCTTGCGGGACCTGGGACAGAGAAATAATAGCAGTATCGAGGGGCACAGTGTATCTTCGATGAATGTATTCATTGAGGTGCCTGTATGACGTTTAACCTAGTGTTGGCAACCCTCCAAATAACAAATATCTACTAGTAGCTGCCTTGGTGCAGCCCACAACCGGGTAGTGATATTCCCTCGCTTCACAGGTACACTTTATACTCGTCCTGCCCGGCCTTCACACTATAATATATGCACAGGTTCCCTTCAAAGTCGTCCTGTCCGACTCTACTGTTACTATACACCCACAGGTTGCCTTTAAAGTCGTCCTGTCCGACTCTACTATTACTATACACCCACAGATTGCCTTTAAAGTCGTCCTGCTCGACTGTTAACTTTCGAGAAGATCAATTAGGTCTTCTCTATCTCTCAATTCATCATCACTATCAGCGGTATCACTATTTCCCATACAACTCTGATAAGGTCTGAGGGAGTCAACTGCGACCAATGTGCTAAAGCTCTTGTAACCCCTCATACCTTTGACGCTTCTTAGCTTATATCTATCGCCCTCAAACACCTTCACTATCTTATAAGGGCCAGAATACTTCTTGTTTAACTTTTTGTTTACCCCCTTTTCATTACCTGATATACCTCCATTCCATAAAACAAGATCACCCTTTTTATATGTTCGTGGTGTTTTTCTTTTCCGGTCATACCTGGATTTCATTTGTTTCGTTACACTGGCAAGGTGTTTTTGAGCGTTCTGCCGTTTTTTACTAAACTCGACCGAATCAGAACCCGTCTCTAAGTTACTCAAAAGATTTCCCTTATACCCAAACAAAAGCTCAAACGGTGTATGTTTCGTACTACTGTGCACGCTGTTATTAATACCCCATACAACTTCAGGAATTTTATCATCCCAGCTCCGATCATCGTCACTACTCACAGCCCTTAAGGCATCTAGCAGTGTACGGTGAAATCGTTCTACTTGTCCATTGGCCCTTGGTGTTGCGGTAGCTGTCCGAACATGTTTGATTTGCTTACTATTCACGAAATCTTTAAAATGTCTACTAGTAAAGGCTAAACCATTGTCTGATATGATGCGCTTGGGATATCCAAGATATTCCCCAAAAATGATCCGTAAATTCTTGATGCACTCCGCTGAGCCTAGTGTTTTTGATGGTCTAGCAACAAAAAATTTTGTGAAAGAGTCTACCAAAGTCAAAATATAAACAAAGCCTGTTTTCGTTTTAGGAAATGGTCCAATGTGATCTATGTGAACAGTGTCCATTGGAATGCTTGGCTTGGGAATAGGATGTAGGAAACCTTCGGCCTTACCATAATTGCCCTTACCGTAACTACATTGCAAACAGGAATTTACATATTTCTTTATAAAAGAAGACATTTTTGCAAACCAAAACTGATCCTTGATCAACTTTAGGCATCGATCAAATCCTGGATGACCTACTTCATCATGATATTTTCTTAGCAACTGGAATCTAGCAAATTTTGGTATAATGAGTCGTTTTCCAAGAAGTGTTTTTCGATATAAACGGTTATTCTCATACGTATATTCCCTAGCCAAGTGTTCTCCAGGATTAGCTTTAATTCGCTTTATGACGTTTTGCAGAGCATCGTCCTGTAGTTGTATAGTTAAAAACCAGTCCTCCACTTCGATTTGTAAAATGTTAGGCGGATTTCTACTAAGCGCATCAACATGCTTCATAGAATGACCTGGTTTATGAATAATTTCGAAGTGATAATCTTGAATAGACAACCACCATCTAGCGATTCTAGGATTCAGGTCCTTTTTTGAAAAGGTATAGCGTACCGCTGAGCAATCTGTTACAATTCTAAAAGTTTGTCCGACCAGATAGATACGAAAACGTTTCAAACTTTCAACCACGGCGAGAGTTTCTAGTTCGTAGCTGTGATAATATTTTTCGGCGGGTGAAGTTACCCGGCTGAAGTATGCAACTGGTTTTAAGCTTTTGTCTTCCGTTGTTTGGAAAAATATGCCAGCCAGTCCTTTGGCACTTGCATCCGTATGTATCTCTATTTCTAGGCGTGGATCGTACGATGTTAAAATTGGTTTGTGAATCAGACATTCCTTCAGTTTAGAAAAAGCTGTCTCCTGATCTCGGCCCCATTCAAATGGCGTATTCTTTTTTGTTAACTTGGTTAATGGCAAAGCAATAATTGCAAAATTTTGAACAAACTTCCTAAAATATCCGGCGAGTCCCAGGAATTGGCGGACCTCATGGACATTTTCCGGCTGCCTAAAATTTTTAACACATTCAACTTTTGCCGATCCAGGGGATATACCTTTCGGACCAATTTCATGTCCCAAAAAATTTACTGAATTCTTCAAGAATGAACATTTTTTCAATTTTAATCTGAAACCAGATTCACTAAGAATTTTGAGAACTGTCTCCAGTAGCTTCAAGCCCTCATCAATGGATGTTGAAGGTAGCAACAAATCATCCATATATACCAACACCTGGCTGTAACGGAGACCCCCCAGTGCGT